ATATGCTATTTACAAGACACAAGATTAAAACTGGATAATTAAACTGAATAATAACACATTATGACAAAAATAAAAGTAAAAAATAAAGGGCTAGGTAAAGATATACCATGGAAATATTAAGCAAAAGAAAAGCCACTGTATCAAGTAAAATATAATTTAAGGCAAAAAGCATTATTAGGAGAAAGTTATGCAATGATAAAAAGGATACTTCACCTAGAAGATAACAAAATTGTGGGAGAAATACACAAATTCACAAGCTCAGCAAACTATAGCTCACGCGGACAAAAAATTTAGAAGTCTATAAATCTATGCTGTTCAATATGGTAGCCACCAGGTACATATGACTACTGAGCACCTGGATATAGCTAGTCTGAACTGAGATGGGCTGTATATATATAACATACAACAGATTACAAAGACTTAATATGAAAAGAATGTAAAAATGTCATTTATAATTATTTAATTAAATGCTGAAATCCATTTTAGACTTATTAGAATAATTAAAGTATTAAAATTAATCTCACCTGTTTCTTTTTAAAAATGTGGCTCTCAGAAAATTTAAAATTATAGTAAAATGTGGCTCACAATATTGTTCTAAGTGGAATCAGTATTTGTCCTTTGCGACTAGCTTATTTCACTCAGCATAGTGTCTTCAAGTTTAATCTATGTAGTAGCATATGTCAGAATTTCCTTCCTTTATAATGCTGAATACTATTTCATAGTAAATACATACCACATTTTGTTTATCCATTCATTTGTTAATGTACACTTGAGTTGCTTTCGTCATTGGCTATTAAAAATAATGCTACTAATGACCATGGGTGTATAAATATCTGTTCAAGCCTTTGCTTTCAGTTGTTTCTGGCATATACCCAGAAGTGGAATTGCCAGATCATATGGTAATTCTATGTTTTATTTTTTGAGGAATTGCCATACTGTTTTCTATAGTGGCTGCTCCATTTTACATTCCTACCAAGAGTGCTCATAGGATTGTCTAGTTTTAATGTCAAGATTATTCTGGCCCCATAAAACTAAAGCTTTCCCTTACCTGGATATTCAGATTGCTAATATTCTAGGATTTTTGCCTCTATGTCCAATTGTAAGATTAATCTATATTAGAAATTTGAATAATCCAAAAATGTAAAGACAAAATTTATACATCATAATCAGATAGGATTTATCCCCAGAATACAAAGAGCTTTTAAATTTACAAAACAAATTAATGTAACCCAACATATGAACAAGGTAAAAGAGAGAAAAAAAACCAATGATCATTACAACAGATAATTCAGAACCCATTGAAACAAAATAAGCAAATAAAAATCTGGTTTCTTGATTTCCAATCCTTATACCGCTTGTTTTCCTTGTTTTACCAGAAAACACAGAAAAATGTTAAATGGGAGGCACAACAACAGGCATCTATTTTCTGTTTCTGACTTCTAGTATTTCACCACTTAATAATGTTTATTCTAAGTTTTTAGTCTATAATCTTTATAGCTTACGGATATTTACGTTGAGTTTGCCAAGAGCATTTTTGTTTATTTGGTTTTTGTTTTTATACCTTTCTCTATACTTCCTTGCTTCTACACTGAAAACCAAAGAAAATCAACAAATTACAAATTAAACAAGTTTGTAGATACATAATTAATATATGAAGACCAATGATGTCCAGTGCCTAGATCTTGGTTTCTAAATACAACTCTCTAATAAAAGAAACCAGGGCTCCTTGGAAAAATGTCTTATTCTAGGGCTGGAACAAGAGAAATAAATGATGAGCCTGAACCATCTTAAAGTACCAGACAGTAGCAAAGAAATGCTTAAAATACAAAAGGAATGGGTCAAATCAAAGGGACACAGTACACAGACTGATGGCCAAAGTTTAAACAATTTAAAAAACAAAAACAATGTAGAATTGGATTATAACCCAAGTATAAAATATAAACAAATGCATACTAATATAAATGAATAAATAAATAAATGCTGAGAGGAGAAAAATCTTCCTTATAGAAGAATTTTAAATAATATATGTAGATGCTGCCCCCTCCAGGAGGTAGAGCTTAATTCCTGCCCTTCTCCACCTTAAGAATAGGCGATACTCAGTGTCTCACTCCCAAAGAAATAGAGTAGGAAAAGGAAAAAATATTAACTTTATAGTGGGGAAACTCAGCAAATACTACCTTAACCAAGGGATGAAGGTTAATGTCATTGGTGATGTTCTACAGATGTTATGTATCCCCTAATGTGATGTGATGAGAATGGTACTTCACCTCTGTGATATTCTTTTGAAAAACCTATAACCCAGTGTAATCGTGAGGAAAAAATCAGATTGAAGGACCTTCTGCAGGATATTTTGCCAGTACTCCTCAAGATTAATAGTGGTCACGAAAAACAAGGACAGACTGAGAAACTGTCATAGATCAGAGGGGACGGGGAAGACTGATAACAAAATACAGTGTGGTAACCTGGATTGGATAATGGAACAAAAAGAGTATATTAATAAAAAACTGGTGAAAGCCAAACAAAGTGTGGAGTTTAGTTAATAGTAATGTACCAATATCAGTTTCTTAGTTTAGACAAAAGTCCCATGATTATGTAAAATATTAAAAATAGGGAAACTAGATGAGGGATGTACAGGAACTCTCTTCTTTGCTACTTTTCTGTATATCTAACATTCCAAAATTAAAAGTTTATTTTAAAAAATCAAGAATATTCTTATATCCTAGTAATAACCAATTAGAAAATGCAATTTCAAAAATCCCTTTTGTAATAGCAAGAAAAACCTACTATATGTGTAACAAGCCTAACAAAAGACGTGTAAAACATTTACAGGCAAAAAATTTATTAAACTGGTGGATACAAAAGAGCTAAATAAGTTTTTTTAAAATACCATAGCATCATGGGAAAACTGAACATTTTAAAGATGGCATTGAATCTTTAAATTAATCTATATATTTAATACAATAATAAGCTCATTGAATGTTAATATAAATATTCTTTATGACAAATTAGAATAGTGGGATTGTATTGTATCTTTGCAAATCTATTTTAATATATGTCTAAATAGAATACAAAGGGATTTTCATATCTGCTTCTGTCTTCAAATGTTTTGATACTGCACATCATGTAGCCTCTAGAAACCTCCACTACACACCCCTAAGAGAATGATAATGACAAAGGCAAATACTATCTTAGCTATATTATGACAATAATTTTGACCTCGCAGACCCACTAAAAGTCCTGGAACCATA